ATGGTCCTACACCCGGTCAAGCCCCCTCTCTTTGGGGCTCTTCCTCAACTGGGCCTGCCCACCCCTCCTATTTGGCAGTGACCCCTATATCCATAGGACTGGGGTGGGGCTGTTTGGGTTCTCACACTTATACTGGGCCCCCTGGGTTCCCAACTAGTTTGGGGTGGAGGTGGGACAAGTATTATTGCCCGTACTTTAGAATAACGCCAGTGAGGCGACTAGAAAGCAATTCTCGGCCCCCACCCCACACGGTGGGCTTTAAAGGCAAGGGCGAGGCGAGGGCAGTGCTCAGGGTGCGCCTGACCCCGAACCCCAGGGACCTCCCGGGCCCCTCGCACATCGGGGTTACCTTCTCGGGGCTCGGGCTCGGTGCCCCGGAAGCGGCCAGCGGCGCGGGCGTCCACCACCTGGAAGCGCCGGGATTCGAGGTTCTCCTTGATGTCCTCGTACGTCTTGACGTAGGCGGGGTCCAGCACCGCGTGGAACTCTGAGGGCTCTGGGCGGCTCTTGCCTGCACTCAGCGGGAGGCCCTGGCGCAACCAGTTGCGGAGGCCGCCGTCGAGAAGCGACACGGTGCGGTGGCCGAAGGCGCGGAACATCCACCAGACACGCGGCGCCGAGTAGAGGCCCTGATCGCTGGCGTCGTAGACCACGACGTGGGTAGAGGCGCTCACGCCCAGGCGGCCCGCGTACTCGGCAAAGTGCGCAGCCCTGGGCAGCATGTGGTCGTAGGGCGACGTGCGGTCGCTGCACTGGTCGATGTCAAAGAAGGCGGAGCCCGGGATGTGTCGCTCCTCGAACTCGCGGTGCGCGTCGCGGCCCAGCTTGGGCAGGTACCAGGAGGCGTCGAGCAGCTGCAGGGGCTGCCCGGCCCGCGGGGCCCGGAGCGCTTCGGCCACCCACTGCGCCGACACGAGCGCGCGGAAGAGCTGCTGCGAGGCCATGGCGGCGGCGACACCGGGGCTGCAGGTCTGGCCGACAAGGAGGATGTCAGGAGGGAATCGAGTTAGAGGCCGGCCGGGCCGGGGGTGGGAAACGCCTGTGTCGTTGGGACTGGGGCGGGGCTGTGGCCAGGGCCGGAAGGGGCGGTGGAGCCCAGGGAGGTCAGAGTCCAGGGAATGCGGAAAACCAGCGGTGGTGAACCCGGAAGCAGACGTCGGTCACCGGGACCTCCTCTCTGTTTTCCTGCCAAGCCTTGTATATATACACAGAGCAGTGACCGAATGAACGTGACCCCTTGGCGGGGGCCCTCACCGGTGCTTGCTGCAGGGTGGGTAGGGAGAGGGCCCAAGCAGGGGAAGGCCCCACTGGCACTTTAAGGCAAGTAGGGGCAAAGTCCCTCCCTAAGACGTAGCTCAGCTTTGCTTGCAGTCAACCAAGGTCCCTGGTGGAATTCATTCATTCATCAATCATTTATATAAGCAGCCTCAGAGGAATAGCAGCTGGAATTGCCTGAGTCCTCCCTATGTGCTCTTTAATTCTCACACCTTACACCACTGCAGGACACAGGGTAGGCTCTCAATTATCTGCTGCATGAGTAGCCTCAAGAAGGTTGCTTTTCTCCTCACTGTTTCACAGAGGGGACACTGGAGTTCACAGAAGTGCACTAACTTGACCAAGGTCAACAGCTAAGAAGTAGTGGTGGTGCCAGGCTTCACACCAGGCAGTCCAGCAAGGTCAGATTTTGCCCCTGGAGTTTCCTCTCTGGAAATAGTGACTTAGGGCCTCACTCCCTCCCCGCCCCTCCTCTCCCTTGCGGGCCAGTAGCGCAGAGTACAGCAGTTCACCAGCGCACCATGACAAGTCAACTCACGGCCTTCCAGGGCAGAGGTGCTCCAGAGATGCCCCAAACGTGCAAAGCGCCTAGGCAAGCACCTCCCCCCACCCCCCACCCCGCCCACCGTCCGCCCTGTCCAGTAGGTGCCTTTGGGCAGGGTAGAGAAAGGTGCCCCTTCAGCCAGGCAGAGGCACAGCCTCACCAGGGCATGGGGCTGGATGAGTGGAGTGTGAGCTGCAGGTCAGCTCCACTCAACCCCCAGCCATGCACCCCCTGTGCAGGGCGCAACCTTGCATTTGTACCGGGCAGCCCTGGCGCCAAGGGGAAGGGGGTGGGTAGAGAACAGAGCGTGTTGCGGAGTGCCCCTGCGGGCCATATACTAATGAGCACCACAGCCTTCAGTAGTGACTGTGGGGTTGCCTGTTTCTGAATAAGACCACTGGTGGCTAGAGATATGCCTTGCCCTCGGTCACAGATCTGGTCAGGGGCAGCCTCAGGATTTGCAACCAGGTTGCAACTTCTCAGGCTAGACTTCTTCCCCAGCCCCAGGTCAATGACGACCAGGGCCTAAGGAGTCCACGGCGGATTACCTGGTGCCCAGCGCCCTCCTGCAGTCTCGCTGCAGCCTGGCTTTTGGGAACCATGTTTTCCACGTGGCCAGGCCCTATGCTGGACACTAAGAAACTCTTGACTTTGTCCGGCCCTGGGAGTTAAGGCAGCCACAGGCCTGCTCAAGAGACAACATAATTGCAGAATTTCTGGAATTCAGTGGGAGCACAGGGGGGCCGCTAGCTCAGCCTGGGGTGGGAAGGCGGGGGAAGGTGGGAGGAGGGGAAGTCCAAACTGATTTGCCGCAGTCAAACTGGAAACCACAGTTTGACCTTCAGGGTGAGGCTGCCGAAGAGGCTTTGGCTAAGGGGCGATCTCAGTGCAGTGCCTGTGGATTCCGCCGCAGCTAGATAATTTTGGGGGATACAGCGGGCCCCTACTTGAAGACCCCATTGTGAACCACAGCGGCCCCTGCCCCCTCCCCATTCTTGGGGCTCCTTGCTGTTTTCCCCGAGGATCCATTTAGAGTGGAAAGAACCCTGATTTTGGAGCCAGAGCCCCTCCAAATCAGTGCAAATCCACTCCCCTGCTTAACTAGGAGTGTGAAAGCGGGCATGTGAGGGTCCTTGCGCCATTTCCATTTCTTATAGTGGAGCTTCCAACCTTCACCTCTTACAGTGAGGGTTAAATAATGAACGTTGAGGCGCCACCATAATGCCCTGCATATGGCTGGTTTTAATCATCATTAAAAACAGCTTCGGGCTTCCCTGGTGGCGCAGTGGTTGAGAGTCCGCCTGCCGATGCAGGGGACACGGGTTCGTGCCCCGGTCCGGGAAGATCCCACATGCCGCGGAGTGGCTCGGCCCGTGAGCCATGGCCGCTGAGCCTGCGCGTCCCGAGCCTGTGCTCCGCAATGGGAGAGGCCACAACAGTGAGAGGTCCGCGTACCGCAAAACAAAATCCCATTATTTCTTCAAAGTTACTTCATAGGTGGCTCATCCTGCCACACAGACACACAGACACACAGACACACAGACACACACACACACACACACACAAACACACACACACACACACTGCCCCCTATGCTGGATTGGCAGTTCTCAGAAAGGACCGTGGGAGGTAGAGGAGGTTCCGGAAGAGCAGGCTGTGTGTGTCACTGAAGGGTGTGGACCAGGTCCCCAGGCCCTGCTCCGGGAGTCGAGGACCCCAAGACAAGCAGGACAGCCCCAGGCCCGTCTCCAGAGTGTACACAACTGTGCTAGGGGAAGGGTGAGTCCCAGGCTGCCATCTGGGGTGGGCCCTGGAATAAGAGGGCTCCAGTCAGACTGGGCATTCTGCAAGGCCTTCCCCAGTCTCGCCCTTCCTGGCACCCTCTCTCCCTTCACTGCAAAGCACAGAGCTCAGAGGACTCCCTGGGTAAATGCTTATCAAAGTATGAATGTTTGCAACTTTCGGTGAGAATATAATTGTTTCAGAATAAAAAGCATTTTTTAAAGGGGGATGAGAAGAGCATTCCAGGCATGTATAACAGCATATGTAAGAGCTGAGTAGGGGCAGTGGTGTCCCCGCCAGCTCACAAGAACCAGTTGTTAGATTTGCAGGAATTAGGCCAACTGGCTGTTAAACACAGCCACCGTTAAAAATTAAATTATGTACATTCACAATGAAATAGGTTAAATTAAGGACAAAGGCAGTGTTTTAAAAGTACGTGGCTTCAGGGATGAGCAAGGTAAACAAAAGTAGCCCCTGCCGGGTGGGTTTCCCATCGGGTTTAACAAGCAGCCTGGCCTCACCGCCACCGCGGGCCGCTAGGCAACTCGCTGGGCCTCTCTCTCTGGTCTTTAAATAAGTTTCTGGCCTACTCCGCAGGGTTGTTGTGGGAAGTAAGCGACACCCGTGGGAGTACCCAGTGAAGTGCCTCGCCAAGCAGGCCTTGACAAATGTTAGCTCCGTTTCACTCTAGCAAGTTCTTTGCCAGTTTGTCCTCCTGGAGCCTCTGGGTCAGCTGGCCTCCCTGGCTTCTCCGTCAGGCTTTATTAGTCCTCCTCCCTCCTACCCTCTCCGCTAGCACCAGGTGATCCCGCCCCCCCGTCCCCCTCCCCCTGCCACTCACCCCGACCCCACCCTGCGGGCCGCCCCCAGCTGCCGCGGACAGCCGTCTTTAGAGTGAAGCCAGGGGCGTGCCTTCCCTCCGAGACTGCGGCCCTCTGCTCCGCTCAGGCCCCGCGGGGGAGCCCTGAGCCGCGCACCCGGACGATCGACCTCCCCCTAAAGAAAGGCAAGCGCAGCGCCGCAGCAGTTACCCCAGTCTCGGGCTCCCGGCTTCCGGGTTCGGCCATGGCCCAGCGCAGAGCACCCCCTCCCCGCGCTCTCAGCTGTCCCCCGCTCCCGCCACCAACCTGCGGCCGGCCAAAGGGAGGAGACTCCGGCACAGCCCACCCCGAGGCCACTCGGAACCCTCAGCTGCCGGCGCCTTCCACTGGCCAGGCCGTGGGGGGGGGGGGTGCCCGCGCCGCCCAGCCCCGCTCCGCACCGCCCCCGCGCCGCCCGGCGCCCCCGGCGCATCCTCGGGGGTCCGAGAGGCGGCACGAGCCCGGGGGGTGGCCGGGGGCGGGCGCGGCGCGGCGTCGGGGGCGCGGGGCAGGGAGGGCGGCGCGCGATCCACCCCCAGGCGGCGGCGCGATGGTGTGGGCCTGCCGGGGAGTTGCGGGCTCAGGGTTTGAACCTGCCAACTTCTCCAGCCCGCAGGGGTGAGCGCCGGGGCGGCGGCAAGGGCGAGTGAGTGCGGCGGCGTGGGGCGGAGGCAGGCGCCCGGGCCGCTCGGGATTGGGCCGCCGACCAGACCACCTGCCACCCGGGGAGGGTCCCGGTGGCGAGATCGGGGTGGGGTGGTGGGGTGCCCCGGGAACCCTGGACCCAACTGGGGCAGAGGGCACTGGACCGGGCCGGACTCAGGCATTCAGGAGGCGGGCGAGCCCAGGTTGCTGAGAGGCCGCAGGAAGGTTTGCTAGACGAGAGGCGGGGGCGAGGGCGAGGGCGTGTGCGAACCCTTCCCCATGCGCCCACTCCCCTACCCTACCAGGAAAGGGGGCTCGAAGCCCAAGATGCCTTCTTCCCCCATCTTGGACATCTTTTCGCCGCACTCTCTGGCAGGATCCTGAGGGCGAGTATTGTAGCTTCTGGGGCTAGACACCCTCCCCGCCAACTCGTCCATCTGGAGCCCGCTTGCCCCAGCCCCTTCTGCGCGGGAGGGGGTAGCAGAGAGCGGCGGAAGCAGGCTTTCCTTAGGGAATCTGCAAACCTAACCCCACTGCCTGATTGCTGTAAACACGACACCCGTGGGGGAGTGCAGTGGGCAAAAAGCTCCTCCTCCCAGGCCCCACCCCACTGAACCCACAGTCCTCATTGCCGGTCTCTTTCCTGGTTCCCACCCGCGCCAGGTGATACGGGGAGCTGAAACCATGGTTCAGCAGGTGCTGTACCGGGCGCTGGTCTCCACCAAGTGGCTGGCGGAGTCCGTCCGGGCTGGCAGGCTGGGCCCTGGCCTTCGAGTGCTGGACGCCTCCTGGTACTCGCCGGGCACCCGCGAGGCCCGCAAGGAATACCTAGAGCGCCATGTGCCCGGCGCCTCCTTCTTTGACATAGAGGAGTGCCGGGACAGAGCGTCGCCCTACGAGATGATGCTGCCCAGCAAGGCGGGCTTCGCCGACTACGTGGGCAGCCTGGGCATCAGCAACGACACGCACGTGGTGGTGTACGATGGTGACCACTTGGGCAGCTTCTATGCGCCGCGGGTCTGGTGGATGTTCCGCGTGTTTGGCCACCGCACCGTATCCGTGCTCAATGGTGGCTTCCGGAACTGGCTGAAGGAGGGCCACCCGGTGACATCGGAGCCCTCACGCCCAGAGCCAGCTGTCTTCAAAGCCACACTGGACCGCTCCCTGCTCAAGACCTACGAGCAGGTGCTGGAGAACCTCGAATCGAAGAGGTTCCAGCTGGTGGATTCACGGGCCCAAGGGCGGTACCTGGGCACGCAGCCGGAGCCAGATGCAGTAGGTAGGTGTCCCCGTGGTGGGGATGGTCCCTGGGGAGCAATGCCCAATGGAGAGATGGGAAGTAGGATGTCTGAGACCCTCTCCAGGTTTTGCCCTCAGTACCCCCATGCGGGCCTCAGTCTTTCCATCTGTAAAATGAGAGGGTAGAGCCCAACCTAAAGGCTTTTCAAGCTCTGATGCATGAGGACGTACACATGTGTTCCCATAGCCACATGCTAAGGCGCGACCTAGCATCTGTGTGGAGTGGCATCAGCAGAGGTGACTGATGACACATCCACCCACATCCATGCCCAGGCGCTAGCTCCACCACATGCCCAAAAGTGTCCGTGAGCCACACATGCGTCGCTGAACAGAAGCTTCCTCAGGACCTCTCTAGTTCTTCAGAAATTCTTAGAGACATGAACAATGCTCTTCCCCAGCACCCCATCCCTCCCTCCAGCTCTCCTGGACCCCCTGACCTTCCTTAAGTTACTTGCTCAGTTAAGTGGCAGTGTTAGGATTTGAACCCAGTGCTGCCTAGTTTCAAACCAGTGCTCTAAACCAGAATGTACCATCATTCTGTCCACTCCCCACCTCCCAGGGCCAGTAGGGAGCCCTTCTGCTAGGCATCTTTAGGGAGATGGCTCATGAGTTCTCTCCTTTGGACAAAGGGTGTGTGTGTGGGAGGAGGGTTCTACACTGCTGGAGGTGGGGGGAGTCTCAGGAGAGGAAATGCTGAGTTCTAGCTAGAAACTCCTAACAGAGAGAACCACAGAAGTCTTGCCATCACCCCTTCTGGGCACCCTCCAGCCCCTGCCTGGACACCTCTGGTGGCCAGGACCTCACTGCTCTCAGGGCCTCTCGGGGCCCAGGCTGGCTGAGCCCTCAGGATGGCTGGAGGGGGCTGCGGCTCTGTCCTCAGTCAGGGCGCCTCTGTGGAATCCAACTGCTGTGCCACGTTTGGACTAACTTGTTGAAAAATTCCTTCCTTTCTGCGCCTCTGAGGAGAGAGCGCTGTGAAAGCTGCTTCCAACACTCTTAGAGCTGGAGGGCCTGAAAGGTCACCTCATCTGTCAGAAGAGAGGCTGCCGTGCACAGAGGAAGGAGGAGGTCAAGCCCACTTGGGTAGTTAGTGGAAAGCGCAGGGCTCTGCCCTCCTCATCCTGGCTTTCTCCGAGCCCCGCGTTCTTCCTGCCCAGCTTGCTCTCTGAAGTTCTGGAGTTGAAGATTCAAGTTTGTTTAGCACCTTCCAGAGACTCCTGGCACGGAGCTCCTACGGCCTCCTCCTGGCCTTGGTTCAAGGCACCTTCACTCCTTGGGACTTAAGCTGCCGCTGGAGGGAGGAGAGGTGGAATTGTTTCTCTGGCTGCTCCCCATCTTGCTCTGAAGCAGACAGAATAAGTAAAGGGAGAGTTTAGAGATGCCAGATCCCATCTCCTTACTCCCATTTTAGAGATGAGGAAACTGAGGCTCAGAGAGGGGAAAAGCCTGCGGCTGCAGGTAAGACCTCCTGAAAGCCCCGAATTCTAAAGTCCCTCCCCGTCTCCGTGGCCCGCTTCCCCCCTCCTCCAGTTCCCATCTGGAGACCAGGGAGCATGGACCCCAGTTTAAGCCCTGCTCCTCCTCTGTGCTGGGACCTCAATCAGTTAATTGCTTGGCCTCTTTGGGTTCCCTTATAAAATGAAAAGAGTAATGCCAGCCCTACCCACCTGGCTGTGTATGTATTAAATGCAGCAGTGGCTGGAAAGGTATTTTGAGAAGGATGAGGACCTGTGCAAAGGCCGGGCTGCTGGAAAGCCTCCCGTACAAGACATTTGGGGAATATTAGGGCCCGTGAGGCTCTGCTGAGTTCACAGTCCCCCGCTTGTGGTGGGATCACAGAGGCACCCCGTGGGCTCAACTGTCCAGATGTAACATCCAGGGAAGTGTGGGTGTCCCTGGAAGGAAAGACCCCCAAGAGGAGCTGGAAACAGGGCCTTAGAAACCCGACAGCCACTTCCTGCCGCTTTCAGGCGAGTAACTTCCCCTCTGGCCTCAGTTTTGTGCCCCCAGTGCCTTCAGTCCTGTTTGTAAGGGGCAAAAGGTGAGAGTCAGACAGACCTGAGTTTACATCCTGGTGTGGCCTCGGGCAGTTCCCTCCACCTCTGAACCCTCCTCCTAATGAAAGGGACACCACTTACCTTGTAGGAGCCTTGGGGAAAGGGAGGGAACAGAGGTGGGAGTTGATCCAGCTCAGTGTCTTTATAAACTTATTCTCTTTTCCTCCCCACCGCCCACCCCAGGTGGGGGGTCCATGAGGGTGAAGAGGGAGGGTATTGACCCCCTAATGCGTACTATTATTTGCAGGACACTTTATATACGTTCTCCCCCGGGTACCTACAGCAGCCCGACAGGGGAGGCAGGCGGGGGTTCAAAGTGGTCCCACTTTGCAGGTGGGGAAAGGGAGCAGAAACTTCTCTGTCCAGACACAGAGGCCAAGACTTGACCCCAGTCGCAAGATCAAAGTGGTGTTATTTCCCAAGGCCACTGCTGTGTAAGCAAACACGGGGATGGGGTTGGAGGGTGGCGGGGAAAGGTCATAGCTTCCAGGTGTTGCTTCATGTTGCATCATGGGGTTGTATGGCTCCTGCCTGTGTCTCCTCCCAGGGATGGGGACTGGGGTGGGGGTCAGGGAGAGTGCGGAGCAGCTTCCCAGCCGCCAGGGTTGGGGGCTGCCCACTGGGGCTGCCTGCACTGGGTTCCTTAGTGTCTTTAGGACGAAAGCAAGAAAGAGCTGCACAGGTTTTCCTGGCCTTGAAAACCCATACCTGTCAGTGACCCGAGGGATGCTAGTTCACCAACTAGACTAGCATCTCCTTGCCCAAAGCTGGAACATCAAGTCCCAGACCTCTGAGCAGGCATCAGGAGAGGTCATCTCAGCCATTCCCCTGCTTCAGCCACTCTTTCCAGGAAGGCTCAGGCTTTGGGGTTGGGCACACCTGACTGCACATCACACCTGTGCTGTGTGTCATGGGGCAAGTTACCTCACCTCTCTGGGCCTGGGCCCCCCATTCGTGCCAGGAGGCTCATCTCTCTCCCCAGCTCAGTGAGGATTGAGGACGATAAAGTTCTTGAGCTAGCCCATTGTCTGGTGCCCGAGGTTTTGAGCGTGGTGGCACGCCTGCTGGGCCAGGGAGAGCCACAAGCCTGCAGCTGGAGCCCTTGTCCCTGGGCGCCAAGCGCCTTTCCCCTCGTTGGCTGTTGGCTGTTCTCTGAGGTTCTCCGGCCAAGTTCATCTCAGCCCTCCCCCCATGAAGGCGGCCAGTTCCTGCTCATTTAAATTCCTCAGACAGGTCCTGAGCCTTCCCTGGCAGAAAGGGAAGGCTCCCACCTCCCGATGCTGGCCCAGTGTGGGGGCTGGAGTCTGTAGAACGCCCTGCCCCCAACTTCTTTACTCAGAGTGGTGCCTTTTATTAATTAGAAGAAAACAATAAAACTGTTTCATCAGGGATGGGTGGAAAGAAACAAAACAGCGTTCAGGACTCAGCAAACACTTGTGCTCTTCAATGCACTTAAATCCAGCCCATGGCCTGGGTACTGAAACTTTTTCTTTTTGTGGTGGGATTTCAGTTCCCCGACCAAGGGTTGACCTGGGCCCCAGCAGTGAAAGCATGGAATCCTAATCACTAGGCCACCAGGGAACTCCTTGAAATATTTTAAAGTTGGGTTTCTTGGAAAAGAACACCTTTGAAGCCAACAGACCAGTTGCCCTTCATTGGTAGGGTCAGTACACATCTGATCTTAGATCAAAGTTTCCTGACAAAAAGTGAAATCACAACAGGAAGAAATCACTATAATTTTATAAGTCAGGGGACTTCCCTGGTGGCACAGTGGTTAAAAATCTGCCTGCCAATGCAGGGGACATGGGTTCGAGCCCTGGTCCAGGAAGATCCCACATGCTGCGGAGCAACTAAGCCCGTGCGCCACAACTACTGAGCCTGTGCTCTAGAGCCCGTGAGCCACAACTACTGAGCCTGCGTGCCACAACTGCTGAAGCCCGCACGCCTAGAGCCCATACTCTGCAACAAAGGGAAGCCACTGCAATGAGAAGCCCGCGCACCGCAACAAAGAGTAGCCCCGCTTGCCGCAACTAGAGAAAGCCCGCGCGCAGCAACAAAGACCCAATGCAGGCAAAAAAAAGGAAAAAGTTAAAAAAAAAAAAAAGGGAAATCCTTTTAAAAAAAAAATTTATAAGTCAGGACATCTAGTCAATCAAACGAGCGCTTGATTCGCGCCAGCAAATTTTGAATCGTCTTTGGCCTCGGGGTGAGGAGAATGGGACTTTGCTGGCCTGATTGCTCGCCTCCTGGGTGCCCACCGTCATTAGGGGTTTTCATCTGCAGAAGCTGACTTCCCAACAAGCCTGTGAGGAAGGTGGACTTATCTCCCCATTTCAAAGGTGGGGAACCGAGGCTCAGACGTGCAGGACATGCCTGGCTGCACGCTGGTGCCCTGATTACCCCCGGTCAGGTCCTTTCCCTCCCACTGCTGCCCAGTCTGGTCCTGCCCTGCCCCACAGTCTGGGTTAAGTGGGGAATTTTGGAGGAAGGGGAGCCCAAAGAGACACCCCAACCTTCCTCGGGCCCCCCTCCCAGTGCCCAGTCTGCCAGGGTGTAGGGCGCTTGGGGACAAGGAGTGACCTAGGCCTTGGGTCTGCACGTGGCACCAGCTCTGGCCATGGCCCAGCCCCATTTGCCCCACATGCTGGCTATTCTGAAGCCAGATTTGGCAGGAGGCCTTCCTGGGTGCAGAAAAGGTTCTGGAATGGACCCTGGAGCTAGCCTAGCCCCCATTCTGCTTCCGTCAAAGCCTCTCAGGGCTGCTAGGAAGGTCCTGAAGGGACCACACTGCCCCCATTCTCACCTGTCCCCCGTCGTAGGTGGGGAAGTGGTAGAGAAGCAGCAGCATCTGAGGGTGGCTCGGCCAGCTGTAGTAAGTCTGTGCTTTACCCTATACAACAGCCCTTACACACGCAAACACTCATTCCCACTTTACCCACGGGGACACTGATGCTCAGAGAGGTTATGTGACTTGCTTGAGGTCACCTTGCCAGTAAGTGGCAGAGCTGGGATTTGAACTTACGTCTAAAACCAAGTCACAGGCTCTTTCCACACTGTGTGCTTGACAGGAAAACCACGGGCCTCGGTGTAATCTTGGATTTGCCTTTACCTCTCTCTGTGGCCTCAGGCTAGCCTTTTCACTTTGCCAAGCCTCGGTGTACTCATCTGTAAAATGGCGTGACATTATATTTAGTGAATTATGTGGTTATGTGTTTAACCTCTATCTTCCTTGCTAGACTAACCTCCCTGAGAGCCTGGGCTGTGTCTCCCCTTCACCACTGTGTTCTCAGCAATAGCCCATAGCATTTGCAGTCATCATCCCATTTGCTGTTCTCCACAACCCTATGAGATAGGTACGTACCACTGAGCCCATTTTACAGATGAGAAAACTGAGGTTCAGAGAAGTGAAGCAATTTGCCCAAGGTAAAGGTTAGTAGATGGTAGAGCCAGGACTCCTCCCTGTCCTCTCAAGCAGGTAGGACATTCCTGCTTCAAGGCAGATTTTGGTGTGGGGGGGTGGTGTCATGAGCACTGGATGTAGGTAGCGCTGGAATAAATTGAGCTCTGAGAAGGGCAAAGATGTTATTTTTATTTGCAAAGCTCCCTCTCCTTATAGCCACGGTTGATTGTGACCTCCAGGCCCCACTTACCCCCATCCACTGTGTCGCTCCTAACCCTGTCCTTTCCTTTGTCCTCTACCCCTGCCCAGGACTGGACTCGGGCCACATCCGAGGCTCAGTCAACATGCCCTTCATGGACTTCCTGATGGAGGATGGCTTCGAGAAGAGCCCGGAGGAGCTCCGTGCCATGTTCGAGGCCAAGAAGGTGGACCTCGCAAAGCCCATCATCGCCACATGCCGAAAGGGTGTCACTGCCTGCCACATCGCCCTGGCCGCCTACCTCTGTGGCAAGCCCGATGTGGCCATCTATGACGGCTCCTGGTTCGAGTGGTTCCACCGGGCCCCCCCGGAGACCCGGGTGTCCCAGGGGAAAGGCGGGAAGGCGTGAGCAGTGGCCTCTCCTACCCTCGCCTACAACTCCTGCCAGTGGAGTGACCCCAGCGTGGCCCACAGCTGGTCCATGCCTCATCGGCTAAGGAGATGAACAAGTTTTTAGAGTTAATGGGTAGAGCGCTCCTTTTCCCAACAACACTGGAATAAAACTGGCCTTTTCCGAGTAGCTGTGTGAGCCCGTTTCTCCCTTGGTTCCGTCCTTACCCCATGTTTCCTTCTCCTTCAGATTCCTTAGAATCCACCGAGGAAGGGAACCTCCACACCCACCCACACGCTGGGGACACTGCTTTATTACTTAGTTTTGGCAAAGGAAGCCGCCTGTCAGATGGAGCACGCTGGGACCTTTCCTGGAAGGGGTACCAGGAAGCCAGACAGAGTGAAACCTAGGTTAGCCAGTGCACCATCCCTTCCTGCTGTGGGTCCAGCCCTCTAGGAGGAGGGGGTGGGAGGGGAGACAGCTGGTCTTCACCTGAAATGAGTGTTCAAAGAGGTGTCCCACAGGCCCTGGGGCCTTTCAGAAGAGGCGATGCTCAGAAGCAACTCGGTGTTCACTGCAGCACTATTTACAATAGCCAAGACACGGAAGCAGCCTAAATGTCCATCAGCAGAGGAACGGATAAAGAAGCTGTGGTACATGTACACAATGGAATATTACTCAGCCATGAAAAAGCATGAAATAATGCCATTTGCAGCAACATGGATGACCTGGAGTTTATCATACTAAGTGAAGTAAGTCAGACAAAGACAAATATCATATATCACTTATATATGGAATCTAAAATACGATACAAATGAACTTATTTACAAAATAGATACAGACTCACAGTCTTCGAAAACAAATGTATGGTTACCAGAGGGGGAAGGTGGTGGGGGGATAATTTAGGAGTTTGAGATTAACATATACACACTACTATGTATAAAATAGATAATCAACAAGGACCTACTGTATAGCCCAGGGAACTCTACTCAACATTCTGTAATAACCTATGTGGGAAAAGAATCTGAAAAAGTGGATATATGTATATGTATAACGGAATCACTTTGCTGTACACCTGAAACTAACACATTGTAAATCAACTATACCCCAAAATAAAATAAAAATTCAATTTTAAAAAAAGACACAACATTGTAAATCAACTTATGCCAATAAAATTTTTAAAAAAAGAAAAAGAAGTAGGCCAAAGGAAGGTGGTCTCCACCTTGGGTGCCCTTCCTGGATCAGAATAAGACCCTTTGGGGAGCGATGGGGGGAGGGGCTGGAGAAGCAGCATCAGCCCCTGGGAGAAGGTCTTTGAGCTCTGGCAGCGGGAATCAGGAAGCTACAGGGAAGCAAGTAACCTGGTAGACTGGGACCTATGTGACTGCATTTGGAGTTTCCCGGAAACAGGCTGTCTAAACCCTCCTTTGGGGCTTCAAGATGATTCCAGGCCCCACTTAATGGGGATTCTCTGATCCCAGCTGGCCAGTCTTCCTGGGTTAAGTTTGGACAAGAGGAGTAGGGCCAGGGACCGAGGTTGTCAGTGATGGATCCCAGCCCCTAACCCAGCGTTGGGGCAATCAGGTGCTCTGTTACTGCTGCGGGTGTTGGGTTAGTGGCAGGGGGCTGAGGGCCCATGGGGTCTGCAGTGGAAGAGGGCTAGGGCAGTCTGGAACCCTCTTGCCTCCATGCCATCCTTCTCCTACCAGCTTTAGGTCCGTTATTGGAGCCCTTAGGGGCCAAAGAGCCAATCTCAGGGGATGAAGACTCTCCCCCCACCCCTTCCTCCTTCTCCAGTCCCAGAGCTCATTCCATCAACATGTTTACTGAGCACCTACTGTGAGATGGGCACTGGTCCAGGTGCTGGTGACATGGCAGTGAACACAATCTCCCTCCTCATGTGTGCTTCACATCCTACCTGGGGGAAAGAACAAATGTACATATATATATATATATGATATAAGATGGTGACACAAGTGCTGTGGGAAAAAAGAGTAATAAAGGGAATGGGGAGTGTGGGGTGGGTTACGATTTTTTGTTTTTAAAGGGTGGTCTGGAAAGGTGAGCAGAGTCCCAAAGGAGGTTGGAAAAGTAAGCCACATAGATATCTAGGGAAAGAAAGTTGAAGCAAAGCGAATGGCCAGTGCAAAGACCCTGAGGCAGGACTGGGCTTGGTGTGTTCAAGAAACAGAGGAGACCAGCATGGCTGGGGCCAAGGGAGTGATCAGGAAAGGGGGAGGAGATGAGGTCAGAGAAGGGGGTGGACATCTATGGTAGGGCCTTGCAAATCAATGGAAGGACGACAGGTTTTACTCTGGTTGAGATGGGAAGCTACTGGAAGGTTTTGATTAGAGGGGTGACATGATCCAAATAAGTTCTAACAAGATCACTTGGCTGCTGAGGTAGGAAAGAGACTTGGTGGATAGACTCTAGGGTTGTCCGCATAATCTCTGCCTCCTGACGTCCACCCCCTGTGCCATCCCCTCCCTTGAGTGTGGGTGGAAACCGCAACTTGCTTTTAACCAACAAAATATAGCAATGGTGTGGGATGCTGTCTCATCTTGAGCTGCTATAACAGGACTGGCTGGCTTAAACCACAGAGGTTTATTTCTCACAGTTCTGGAGGCTAGAAGTCCAAAATCAAGGTGCCAGTGGATTTGGTTCCTGGTGAAAACTCTCTTCCTGGCTTCTCATTGATTGTGTCCTCACATGTTGGAGAGAGAGAGGGGAAGAGCGGGAGAGCAGTGCTCTGGTCCCTCTTTCACTTCTTCTAAGGACAGCAATTCCGTCGTGGGGACCCCTCATGACCTCATCCAAACCTAATTACTTCCCAAAGACCCTACCTCCAAATACCATCACATTGGGAGTTAGGGCTGCAGAACATGAATTTAGGGGGGACACAAACGTTTAGTCTATAATAGTTGACACTTCTGTGATTACAGTACGTGAGATTATAATGCCCGTCTTGTGCTGGGCATTTTCCTTTGCTGGCTTGGATGAAGTGAGTGACGTGTTGGAGGCCCACATAGCAAGGAACCGAGGATGGCCTCTGGCTGAGCCCCTCAGTCCAACAAACCATGAGTAACTGTGTCCTGCCAACAACCTCATGGTCTTGGAAGCAGATCCTTCCCCAGTCGAGCCTCAGAGGAGAGCACAGCCCCAGCCAACACCTTGACTGCAGCCTTCTGAGGCTCCAAAGCAGAGAATCCAGTTAAGCCATGCCCAGACCCTGACTCACAGAAACTGTGATAAAGTATGTTAGGCTGCTGAGCCTGTGGTAATGCTGTTACGGAGCAGTAGATAATCAATGCAGGGCACAGGAGCAAAAGAAGGAGACCAGGGAGGAGGCAAATCTGTTAACCCAGGCAAGGGGTGGTGCTGGCTTCTACCAGGGGCCAGGGGGGATGTGGAGGTGGGTAAAGGGGTCTGAGTTTGGTGTATTTTGCAGGACTTGCTGATGAATCACTTATGGGGTTGGCTGAGAATTACAGGTGACACCTCACTCTGTGCCAGGGAATGTGCTGGGCATTTCACAGAAATGACTAATCACTCCCTCTACTTAATGCTTTGTAATCCCAAGAACATCCTTCACACCTGATGGCGTCTGAGCCCTCTCTGCCTGGCACGGAACCCGGCCTGTGGTTCCGTGGGATGAGGACATTTCACCACCTGACATTTTTAGGGGATGAGAGAGTAAACAACACCTGAAGCCCCCTGTTGCCCTCTTAGTACTGGCTCTCCCTGGCCTCTGTTCCCCAGGGTGGGCCTATCATTCCGCTGAGGTAACAGAGCCCTGTGTACAGTGATTGCCATGGCAACTCCAGTGCACGTGGGGGGCTGCCCTCCAGCAACCATCCACTGGTCTCCAGCAGCAGTTGTGCTGCGCAGATCTGCACTCCTGGGTTTCCGCACACACCAGGGTGGTTCACGGTTTTCTGACATTATGAGAGAGAGTGGAGAGGTGAGGCAGGGACCTTGAGGTGGGCCAGGGGTCTGCCAGGACATGGGGCTTCATCTTCCTTCTCTCTATTCAGAGTTGCTTGTGAGTGGAATGCTCAGACCGTAACAGGATCTACTTTCCCTCCCTCCTTGACCCGACGTCTCTTGGGATTTTCTCTCCAAATCAGAAACTGACGTGAGTCTACACTTCCGTTCAAGCCCGTCCAGGCCACTCTGGACTGAGGGTGCTATTGGGGCAGATGGGCAGCTCCTGTGGACACACCAGGTGGGTGGCTGGGGATGGGGAATGGGGACAGGAGCAGAAAGAGAACTTGAAGGAGATAGAGGTGGGGCTTGGTGTCAGCACCACCTGGGTGAGGTCCTATTTCTCTTCTGAGCCTCATTTTCTCCAACTGTGAAAGAGGGTGAGTTAATACTTTCTCCAAACACCTCACTGAGTCCTTGTGAAGAGAGACTAGTCTACTAGATGTGAGAATACTTAATACATGAGCTGTATTTGTCATCTCCTGCTGTATAACAAATCACCCCAAACTTAGTGACTTAAGAAAGCATTCATAATCTCATAGTTTCTGTGGGTCAGGAATACAGATCTAGCTTCAACGGGCCATCTGTCTCAGGGTCTCTCACAGCCTGTGATCAAAATATTGGCCAGGGCTTCGGTCTCATCTCAAAGCTCAACTAGAGAAGGGCCCTTTCCATGGCCAGGATTAATTCCTCAGATTGTTGAACTGAGGGTCTCAGTTCCTCTCGAGTTGGTGGCAAGAGGCCCTCAATTCCTTGCCACGTGGGCCTCTCCAGAAGGCGGCTCACAACAAAGAAACTGCTTCCATCAGTGCAAGAAGAGCCGAGAAGAGCCAGAGAGAGTGTGAACAAGACAGAAGTCACAATCTTATAACCTCATCTTGGAAGTGGCATCCCATCATTTTCACCATATTCTACTGGTTAGAAGCAAGTCAGTAGGTTCAGCCCATACTCAAAGTGATGGAATTACACAAGTGTGTAAATACTGAGGAATTAAGGGTCACTGGGAGCCATGTTACTGCCCACCTCAGTCCACCCTCTAGCCTCCGATGATAAATATCCCTTCCACATGCAAAATACATTCATCCCCTCCCAAGAGCTCCAAAAGTCTCATCCGATTACAGCATCAGCTTCAATTTTAGAATCTGGCCCTAGAAATCGGGTCCGGGTGTGGATGAGGCTCCTTGTGTGTCATTCTTCTCTATCAG